TCAGACACCTACATGTATCTCACTCACACTTGAATAACTCTTATCTTTTATATACAAAGATAAAATAATAATATGCTGATGACAAAACTTTATTGACAATTGATGCAAATATTCTTTATTATTTACTTGAATAATTCTATTTCTCAACTATTATGGCAATTAATAAAATATCATTTGGAACAAGTCAACCGGTAAATTTTCATATCTATGATTGATTCATTTTTCATATTTCTAATATTGACATATATATATTTTCTTTTTTTTGTATCTTAGACTGTATTTAGTCGTATGAAATTTACATTTCTTATTTTATGTTTCACATTATGTTTTATTTTATTTTTACTCTATTCAAATACAACAATAAATTGGAAAACTTTACATAGTTTATTAGCAAATAATTTTCTTTTAATATCATATCCATCATTAAATTTTACATTTAATTATACAGATAATATAATTCAAAAATCATTAAATGAAAAAAATTTTTCATCAATAGAACATCGACGATTTGCAATTTTTGCTTGTTCAATTCATTCAAAAACTCATGCATATTCATTTTATACACCAATAACATCTGCTAGTTGGAAACGTGTTGGTTATGAAACAATTGTTGTTTTTGTTGGTGATTTTACTATTCCAAATGTACTTACATCTCGTCTTAATTTAACACGAAAATATTTAAAACATGTTGGTGCATATATTATTGATATACAATGTAATTCTTCATATGCTATTAAATTATCTCAATTGGTACGTGTTTTTTCTGGATTTTTACCTGATACAATTGTTCGTGATAATGATGATATATTAACAGGTGATAGTGATTTAATGCCGTTAAAAACAAGTGAATATCAACCAACGAAAGGAACAGATGGTTTTATATTTAATGCATTTTGTTGTGGTTCATTTCGTCGTCGTGGAAGATCTTATCGAATGTTTCCGAGTTAGTTTGTTTCTTTTGTACAAGGATTAAATTTATCGATCATGCAATGTTAGAATAAAAACAAAAAATATGCCAGTATAATCTCCTTAACTTATTTTTTTTATCTATGAAAATGAGTTCTGATTAGTGTTGTCATTAGAAAAGAAAATTGACATATCATAGAATCATCACGTTCATCTTACTAACAGAATAGGTATTACGCATGAGTACTTAATCTTTTCATCTTAACGTTTATCACAATAGAAGAATTTGATCGTCTCTCTCTCTCTCTTTCATTCATGAGAACATGTATTAAATTATAGCACATAGTAAAAAAAAAAAAGAAATTGAATAATATTGATATTAGACTGTTCAACATCATCTTCGTTTTTCTTATTTTGATAAAATAAAATGAATAAATTAATTCTCTAGAATAATCGTCCAAATTATTCTCTAGCGAAGTTATACTTTTTTATTCGTCTTGTTATTTGACATAAGTATTAGCATGAATATTATTACTATTAATCGTAGTCTTCTAAAAATGTCAATATTAATGTACAAAGATTAATATTATATTAAGAATTTTCTTTTATTGCATGGAGTTGAAAAATAAAAAGCAACTTCTGATATTTTGCAGTATATCAGATGTACTTCTATAATCTTATCATTCTTCTTTTCTTTTTCTTTTTTTTTTAATAAATTGTCCTTTTACTTTTATACATACAAAGAAAAAGAGAAATCTTATCTTTGTTTATCAGTTGGACGAATAAATGTAAAATTGATTGAAAGTTTGTTGGCTTCTTAAGTATGAAATATTGTATACAAATGAAGATAAGAAATATTTTTTAAGAATTATTTACTCGAACAAATAGAAGAAAGAAAGAGATCATTTATATATATTCATGAGTGTCTGTTGAGAGTGAAGGATCATTTTTCTAGACTTTAACTTCCTTCGAATTCTCTTGGGAATATGTGTTGTGCATTATCGTTAGATAATTTAGTTATAACTAAAGAGTTCCTGTCATATAGCTAATGATGTTTACTATATCTGTTGAAAGTTTTTGAAATTTAATTAAAAAAAATGATTTATTTACTTATCGTTCAACTATAATCATTGAAAATTTAACGATTCTTTATCTTTGACATAAACATATTAAGTTAATCTTTTATATTAGTTAAATTAAAACTTAGAAGTAAAAAAAAATAAATAAAACATTAACTAACTGAAATTATAAGTCTAGATAAAAAAAATCTTTTCATTGTGTACAAAATTATTTTTAAATAATATTTTTAAGATTTATTTTTAGATTGAATAGAAGACAGAAAAAAAAGACTACATGTTGACCTTGCGCATATTATATATTAATCTAATTGTGAATTTTTTAATCATAATAGATGACTATATCATAGAGACTAACTTACTGTCACGATAGTCTTTAATAATGAAACATAAGAAATTTATTCTCTCTAGCTTTAGAATAAAAAATATAATCTATAGATTTAGCATACAAAAATAATTGTTCAAAGCTATAAAAAAATTTTTTTTTTGTGTTTTTAGTGGGTCATATATATTTAAAAAAGAAAGTATGGCGTGCTATTGTCATGGAATCAAAACAAAGATCTGAACTTCTTATTAATGCAACTGATCAAATAGGATATTTATTAAGTGAAAATGCATCACTTTCATTTGATACAATAAGTCTTTATGCTCGACATGAATTTCAACAAGTATATGATTCAAATATGGCAAAAGGTGATGCAGCATGGTATATGGATCAAGTATTATGCTCAATGTTATTAACAGATTATCGTGAACAACATAAAGATTTAAAAATACATGAACGTGGTCGTGCTGCTCGTCTTGATCGTGCTAATAGTATTGCATATTGGAATCGTGATACATTTAATCAATTTGGTGATGCACATTTAATTCATGATACAATTTTACAAGAACAAAATTGGAAAATTTTTAATAAATTACTTAGAAGTTTATTTAATGTAAGTCTTGTTAATACTTTCAATGATTATTATAAACAATATATGATTGTGGATAAAAAATTATGATTATAGAAAACGAATAATTGTTTATTACTGTGTTGTTATTATTGTCATTATTTTTTTCAACGTGATATTATTTTTATTTATGAATTCTATTTTGTTTTGTTTTTTTTTTGCGAAATTTATTACCAATATTATTTTATTAAAACACAGCAAAAAAAAAAAGTAAAATTCTATTAAAAGACAAAATAAAAATTTGCTTTTTTCGATTTTTATTATTATTATCGATACGACTGACAACACTTAAGATATACGAAAAATAAGCACGAAGATATTTGAATTCCTTGAAGAAACTTTTTCTCTATATGATCTGATAGCAAAAATAGTACTTGACATTATTCTAATAATAGAGTTTTTACAAGAGCTGTTTATTACCATATGTGCCTGTCATATTAAATCATATATTACCTTCGATACGTATTCTGTTGTTCTTTTTCTCTCGTGTCACCTAAAATGCCGAGGCATCTATAAATATTAAGAGTATACAAAAATATGGTGCCGATAGCAACAAAAAAAAAAAAAAGAAATAAATTTTTATTTCATCCAATCATCGAAATAATCAGAATGATTATTTTTGTTGTTTGATTAAGTTAATTAATCAAAAATTATATGGTATCACATTCTGAGAATTACTTCTCTTTGTCACACGTTTGTTCACATTACTGGCGATAGCACTTACGACTTTCGGTTTCAGCTATAAACGATTATAGAATAAAAAAAAATTTGCAGTATTGTAATTTCTGTCAAATCTGTTGACAGATAGACTATTTCATGATTTAATTTAGGCTGAAGATTTATTAAGGCTTCCTTCTCAAAAATTGATCCCTGTCCAGAAATATCTAAATTGCATGAAACTTTCAGGATATGTGTTGGGGTTGGTGAATGATGGCTATGGTAAAATTTTCAGCCTTATATCACGACGTTTGACAATGATACTCACCAAATAAGGATCAAAAATAGCTCTATCGTATGTCCAGGACTTCTCTGTGGGTCTTAAATTTTTTTTTGTTTGAAAGCTTGGATCTAGAGCTACCCTCTCTCGTGGCCCTTTTTTTAAGCGAAGAAAAGGAATGAGAAGTTTAATGACTCAAAAAACCTCTAAAAAATATGGCACTATTTCTATAGAAGTGTTTTCTTATATGAAAATGAAAAGAGCTACGAGGGGGACTAGCTCTAAGCACAAGCTGTCAAACAAAAAAAACAATATTTGACTTTATCTTTTACTATTATAGTGTTCTGCTGGCACTACGTCGTTGAATTCATATTCTCAGACAAACGAAAAATAGTTTTCAGTTTCTTTTATAAAAACGCCTTATTTCCATGAATTTATCTCAATTTCGATCATTTTGACGAAAAGTGACTTTTTTAAGGGATGAGAAGCCTTAAACCAGATATGATTTCGAACTCTTTCAGAGTTCTAGCACTTTGATTGAAATCTATTTCTCATAAATTGCTCAACATCGAACATTCTATACTGAATCCAAGGTCGCGAGAATTGGAGGGAAGTCAATTTGTTGAGCAAATAAAACGCTATAACTCCGCTGGAGAAAAACAAAAACTTCTCTAGGATGAATAGGGATACACGGAACCAATTGTTTCTGCTTCTAGTTCTACCAGAATCGGGATCATCTGGTCCGTATCTAAGGGTGGATCTCCAACTCACCTCTTACTGAATCATATTTCATTCAAAATTCTAAGAATTGAATTCACGGTACATAATTGTAAACATATTATTTTGAGTGAGAATTGTCTTTTCCATCGCTCGTATATTCATATTCAGTTTACCTACAAATAACTACTCACTTATCAAATAAAATTCTATCATATTTCTTACCAACGCTATTCTCTCTGTTTTCTTTCCTCTTATGATGAAACCAAAGCTTAACCTTTGAGTTTGACAACCATCACATATCCTATCTTCATAGATGGCGACAGTGTACATTGAATCATATCACAATAAAATATTTATTAATCAAAAATATGTATCATTTCAATTGAAAAATATTATAATATCGATTAAATAATAAAAAATTTCTTACAGAATCTCTTCGATCGTAACTAGTTAATTAATCGAACCAATAGAAAACATCCAATAGGTCTTTGTTTCTTTTTGTCCAACATTTCTTTGTTTCGTATCGATCATTATTTTCGTCTTGTCAAAAAACAAAAAGCTAAACTCTTCCTATTGACAAACATGAGTTACTTTTTGAAATATGTCGAAATTGATAATTTTAAATCCTACAAAGGACATATTGTTATTGGTCCTTTAAGAAAATTTACAGCTATTATTGGGCCAAATGGATCTGGTTTGTTGGAAAAAAAAATTTTTTTTTTTTGAATTTCTAATTTTTGATTATTCAGGTAAATCAAATCTTATGGATGCTATTAGTTTTGTTTTGGGTGAACCAACAAAAAGTTTACGTGTTCGAAAATTATCTGTACGTATATATATGTTTTTCTATCCATTAAAAATAATTTTTTCTTTGTGAAAAAGGAATTAATTCATGGTGCACCAATTAATAAACCTGTTAGTACACGTGCATCTGTTTCATTAATATTTGTTTCAATAAAAACAGATCGTCATGGTGAACGTACTGAACATGAAAAACGTTTTCAACGTTTAATTGTTGGTAATGCATCTGAATATCGTGTTGATGGTCGTCAATTATCAGCAACTGAATATACCGAAGAACTTGAAAATATGGGTATTATACCAAAAGCAAAAAATTTTCTTATTTTTCAAGGACAAGTTGAATCAATAGCAATGAAAACACCAAAAGAATTTACAGCTATGTTTGAAGAATTAAGTCGTAGTGGTGAATTACGTGATGAATATGAACAAGCTAAACAAGAAAAAAATAAAGCTGAACAAGATACACATGCTAATTTTCAAAAGAAAAAAGGTGTTGAAAAACAAAAAAAAGAAGTTCGATTAGAAAAAGAAGTTGCACAAAAATATGCTGCATTAAAAACACAATATGTAAGAAACAAAAAAAATATTAATTATGATGAATATTTTTTTGTATCTAGGATGAACTTCAATTACAATTAAAATTATTTCAATTATATCATAATAAACAAGAATTAACAGAAAAACGTGAAATATCTGATAAGAAAAAAGATGAAGTTGCAAAATTAGAAAAACGTAAAGAAATATCTGATGAAGAAATTAAAGCTAAAAAAAAAGAATTAGCTATTTATAATAAAGAACTTACAAATGATGAACAAAAAGTTAAAGAATTGGTAAAAAATTTATTTTCTTTAGAATATTTTTTTTTTTATTATAAAATGATTTTTCTAGGAAGCACAAATTAATAAAAATCGTCCAACTTATATTAAAGCTAAAGAAAATTCAACACATCATCAAAAAAAAATTGATCTTGCAAAGTAAGAAAATTTCGGGATTAGGATATCACAGACGAGGGAGAAGCGATCGTGATAACAAAAAGTCATTTTCTACTGTGAAAATAGTTCGGTAAGGAAGAACGATTATCATCCTCGAAATCCGCTACTGGATTATGGTATTGAATTTAAGGTCGATACCATATCGTGTGTTTTCCATTAACAGTGTTGGATCGGGCGATTTATTTATTTTTTGTTAAATTACTATTAGAGATCGTTCTATCATTAACAGTTTGTAGAATTTTATTAATATCATCCATGATTTAGTAGATTTTATCTAGAGAATAAGATTTACATCTTCCTTTTGGATTTCTGATCATTCAATCAATATAATTTAAACAAAGCCAATTAAAATATTTTGAAAGTTCAATAACAATCAGACAAATGCCCTTATCATTATTGATATACTAGCGAGAACCCATGCATACTGCACGGCTGTTTCCTCCGTTAATGTATGACCTTAGACGTTTAACCTTTCATCCGGTAATAGATAGCCCTACGGCCTGATACTCGTATATCGCACATATTTTTATAGTCCAGGTAGCCTTATCTCCTTATTGCTTTACTCCTTATTCCCTTGAGGACCTATGTGTACTCGCCATATAGCAATCCTTAAGGATGTGTAGGTACCTCATATAGTAGCCCTTGAGCCTTCTGCTTATAGTCTTATTTTGACCTTTGACCCGGCACAGACAGACAGACACTGAACATTATATATATAGATTATGAACGTCTGTCTTTTGTTTTAAGAAAAACTCTTCTTACTGCTGAAAAAGCTCATATTGCTCATGATGAAGAAATTGAAAAATATGAAAATGATTTACATGAAGTTGAACGATTAAGAAAAGAATATGAAGGTAAATTACAAGATGAGTCACAACACACTGGTCGTAATTTAGCACTAGAAGAAAATCAAGTAAGAATAATTATTTTTGTTTTGTCTTACAAAAAAAAAAAAGTTTTATCTATTAGATGAAAGAATATCGACGTTTAAAAGAAGAAGCAGCTAAAAAAATGACACAATTTTCTGAAGAATATGATTCAATTGATCGTCAACAACAAGTTGATAAAACAAATCTTGAACAAGAACAACGAAGTCAAAAAGATCATATAGCACGAATAAAACAAACGGAATTACGTATTGAAGAATTAAATGGAAAAATTGATAAATTGGGTGGTTATATTGCGTAAATAAATCTTTTTATTATTATTTGATATTTTTTAATTAAATTTTTTAGTGATCTTGAACGAGAATTTAATGAAAAACAAGCAAATGTACAATTACTTGAAAAAGAAGTTACTGAAGGTCGTAAACGTTGTGGTGAACTGGAAGAAGAACTTGATCAAGTTAATAAAGAAATTGGTGAAGCTCGCGTAAGTTTATTGAAATAAAAAAAAAAAAAAATATATATATATATATAACAATTTCTCATTGAAAAAATCTAGTCCGATCGAAATGAAACTAGTCGTGCACAACGACGTGCTGAACTTATTGAAAATCTTAAACAATTTCCAGGCGTGGTATGTACTAAATATAACTTTTCTTTATTTTCAATTTAACCAGATTCGTAGACGGATTCAACATAGAAAATGATAAGATCTGT